CTTCCTGGGGAGGGGGCCCTCCACATGAGCACTTGTCACTCCATAGCTCTGACCCGGGTCCTGATTTACACAGCGGAGATGACCTCCATCCTGCTCATTTCATTGCATGGGCACAACCAGAGCCAAGGGGCTTGGAAAACAAATGCAATCCACACGCTAGCCTCTACCCAGCACTGCTGGCGAGCGCCCCCTGGTGGCCGCGCCAGAGCTGACAGCGGCATCACAGTTCACAGCTGAGAAGTCCTGGCCGGTGAGGTAGCCCTCAGGACTGTGGATACAGAGGCCTGCAGTTTCTGTCCTGGGATTGGGGTGGGGGGGGGGGTTCTGAGCGGGGTGACCGCTGTTTGTAACGGTGGGGGCAGACCATCAGTGTCCATCACTCCATACGGGCCCGTTCTGTAGGAATGGCCCGGTCCTGCCTACGTGACATTATCTTTCATTCATAGAAGCAGCCTTTTCAGACTGGCTGGCACGTTGGGCAGCTGGCCCCACCTTACCCAGCGAGGAATGCCCTCTGACATCCTGGCAGCTGGACATCCAGCCCCTGACAAGCTTGCCCCCCCGGGACAGCCACCTGTTGCTGGCAGTCCTCTGGCCACTCCTGCAGGGCACCCTGCCCCCAGCCCACGGCTGCCCTCATCTCTGGTCTCCCCGGCCTGGGCCCACCAGCCCTGCCTTCACCTGGTGAACCTCCCCCTCTGCTCCCCAAGTTCCTCTCTGGTCCCACCCACCTCACTGGTCTGCCTCCCGCCCGGGACAGTGACATCCTGGGAGCAGGGCTATGCTGTGTCCAGGCGGCAGGTGGGCATGTGATCAATGCCTGATGGTTGAGTGGCATCTTTTTGTTGTTGTTAATCCTCACGCGAGGATATTTTTTCCATTGATTTTTAGAGAGAATGGGAGGAAGGGTGGGGGGGGGGAGGGAGAGAGAGAGAGAAGAGAGAGAGAGATTGGTTGTCTCCCCCACCCACCCCGACTGGGGGAGGGGTCAAACCTGCAACCCTGATACATGCCCTTTACTAGGAATCAAACCCACTCAATGTCAGGAATAGGGCACAGCTGGGATGCAGACGGGGTAGGGGCAGGGCCAGGGGCGCGCCAAGTGGGAAGAAGTAGGACAGACCAGAGTGGGCCAGGGGCCTGCTCATTCCAGCCTGCCACTCGGTGGGACCACGGGGGACACCCCTTCTCAGCTCCTAATGAGCAGGTGTCCTCTAACCCCACCCAGCTCAACATCCTGTGACTCTTAAGTGGTCAAACTGCCTATTGGCTGAACCCAAGAGGATTTGATGAATTGGGGGAGGGGGGGGACTGTGCAATATTAGCCAGTGACGGACTTAGCCAGTGACGTACTTTAGCGCCAAGAGCAAAGAATTAGTCACAGAAGCACCTGCCACACAGCGTGGGCCCGCACAGCCGTCTCCAGGCCGTGCTGAGCCTTTGCCAAATCCGCACGTCAGATGACAATTCCATGCTCACGCTTGGATCCCTGTGAGCTCGTTGGCGCCAGATGCCTGAGCTGCTTTTCCTAAACCTTCTCATCACCACGGACGGAAGGAAGTCCGTGCTCTATTAAAAGCATTAAAACTGGGGAATGCGACATGTGTCTGAAGTATGAAAATCAACCACAAAATGCATGCCCGGCCACACTGCTCATCGCGGCCTGACCGAATGCCTAACCTCTCTTCCTCAGCTCGGGGGACCATTTTGCCCTTCCCTGCTCTTTAAAAACTTTTTTGGTCAATTACAATTGACATTCAATATTATTTTACATTAGTTTCAGGAATACAACCCAGTGGTTACACATTTATGTCATTTACAGAGTGGTCCCCCCAGTGAGTCTAGGACCCACCTGGCACCCTACATACTTATGACAATATGACTGACTATAAACCCTATGGTGGACTTGACTATTCTGTGACCACCAATTTGTACTTCTCAATTCCTTCAGCTTTTCTACTCAGTCCCCCCAACCCCTTCCCTC